ATGAGTTTTAATTATTTTTATCGCTTGCATACGAATAGTCATTCTTATGGTAGGGCGCCATGGAAACATTTTGATTGAAAAAGGGCGCCGCGACTAGGAAAAGTTTAGGAAGCACTCCACTTGACGATAGTAACAAAGACATGTTAAATTAGAAGGTATTTATAGTCTTTTGACAGACAGTAATTATTCATAGAGAGTAGCATAAAACTTGAAGATGACGAAAGATCGCTTCGCCTTAGACTGAAAATTTATTTAATGGTCAACAAATTAGCATTTATTTCACACTGACCCAACTCATGGCTCCCATTTGATGAAAAAAATAGGGTTCTTTTAATCCAATCCAATCTTTACGTTGTCCGAAAGGCTAGTAACAAAGAAGGTAAGATTAAAATTGTCAAAGCTGGAAGTGATACCTTGCTCCAATCGACGCTGCCTTCGTAGGTCAAGTTGCAGAAGACATTGGTCGCTTTGATGGCCTCTGGTCCACGCTGTTTGTAGCCGAATATCAAGTCGATCCAATGATGCAAGTGACAGGAGACGAACTCCGACTCAAGAGCCTGAAGAGATATTATGTCATGAAAGGAGAGGATAGGTGGAGGGTGATATGGGAAATGGCAAAGAAATTGTATAAGCGAGATTAAGTGGAGCAGAAGTTATGTTGTGATCCCGATCTCTCGACTGTGGCCGCTACAGGTGGAAGCATCGAAAGCATTAAAAGCAAGGTAAAAAGGGAAGCCAGACAGTAAATGTCGACTTTCTTTCTAAGACCGATAAAATAAGCTTTCAAGTCATCAAAGGGAGAAGAATGTCTTATATGGGATAGTTTGATGAAATAAAATGGCAATTAAAAAAAACAACTAAACGTGATCGTGGGGTTCATTAGCAAGCATGGGAAGAACACGATAAATTAGAGCTGATAATGTCACGAGGCTGATTTCTAATGAAAAAAATTGTCAAAATAAACTTTATCTACTTTCCGATATTAACGCTTCAGTATCTGATGTCATAGTTACTCGATCGACTAATGCCAAAGGTTTGTGAACTTGAATGGAATTAATGGTCAATTGAGAATTCTGATGCAATAAGAAAAAAAATAAAAAATTTGTACTAGGCATTCGTAGGTGAAAAAAATCAAATATTAGGAAGGACTGTGGATCAAACGAAAAAAAAGATGAGCTACTTTTAGAAAGAGCCCTTGGCGGTTGATGATAACTACAGGCCTCAATCCAGATGGCTTAAGCTTCTGAGTTGCGAAAAGCAGCTACGTAATGCTTTTCAAATGTTCGAGGATAGTTTAGAAACAAAAAGTTGATAAATATTCTCCAATTCAGTTTCACAATGACGTATGAAGGTTCGGAGTAACTTTTAATTGAACATCAACGCCGATAAGTTTGTGGAGTGTCTTTCAACAAGGAATACTCGTAGATACAAGAAGGGGTTGTGAAATAGAGGGCGAAATGAAATGAGCTGAGATGAGACTTACAATACCGAAGATGATTCCGACGAAACGTCTGGAAATGTAAACAGTCCACGGTTCTACGTTGGAGATTAGCATGACTATCATAATAAAAGAGTTTGGACAAGGTAAATTCGTCTGAGCCTAACTAACAGTAAAACCAAGTTGCGGGCACAAAGTCAAACCATTTCATTTTGAATATAGTCTAGACCTTTTTATTTGATATGGCTACATTTTAGGTAAGAGCAATCTACATTTTTTCTGCTGTTTCACTGATGCTGCTCATATATGAGCTCAAATATATTTGTTTTGAATTCCAAGTTGCAGATAATGGACCCCATATTGCAGCTGACCCGAAAGGTTGCATACAGACAGTTAAGGAGAATTAAGCTAATTAGATACAAATCAATCCACCAACAACAGGTCCAAGGGAAAAGGGGTCGTGAAGGTATGTATGAGAAAGAGGGAGAGTTAGTTACTTGTCGGTTTATTCGGACAAAGTCCTCCGGAGTGCTCGCCCATGGCGGCAAGATGACGTCGTTTACTCGAAGACCATCCTCGGTGTGGCCCAGATCAAAGGAATTGCGGTTTTCAAACATCTCGGATAGGTAGAAAAATTCCGGAATCAACTCCTTGACATCGGACGTGTGAAGCTGACAATTCTGCCAGGTTCTGGCGATCGAATAAAAACTGCGGTCAGCATGGTCGAACTTTCCGCCCTGATGGAAAAGAGGGAGAAAATGAAGAATTGAATTGGAGGCAACCAAAATAAGTTGATAAGTATAGTTATCTAAAATAGATAATATGAGATGAGATGAGATGAGATAAGAAGAGATTAGATGAGATGAGAAGAGATGAGATGAGACGAGATGGCTGAAATAAGATGAGTGAGAAGAGATGAGAAGAGAAGATATGAGATGAGATGAGCTAAGATGAGAATAGATGAGGAGAGATAAAAAGAGATGAGATGAGACTATATGAGATGATAAGAGATGATAAGAGATGAGAAGAGATGAGAAAAGATGAGATGAAATGAGATTAGATGAGAAGAGATGAGAAGAGATAAGAAGAGATGAGATGAGAATAAATGAGAATAAATGAGAAGAGATGAGAAAAGATGAGAAGAGATGAGATAAAATGAGATGAAAAGAGATGAGAAAAGATAAGAAGAGATGAGATAAAATGAGATGAAAAGAGATGAGAAAAGATAAGAAGAGATGAGATAAAAAGAAATGAGAATAGATGAGAAAAGATGAGAAGAGATGAGATGTGATGAAATGAGATGAGATGAGAATAGATGAGAAAAGATAAAAAGAGATTAGAAGAGATTAGAAGAGATGAGATGAGAAGAGATGAGAATAAATGAGAAAAGATGAGAAGAGATGAGAAAAAATGAGATGAGATGAGATGAAATGAGATGAGATGAGATGAGAAGAGATAAGAAAAGATAAAAAGAGATGAGAAGAGATAAGAAGAGATAAGATGAGAAGAGATGAGAAGAGATGAGAAGAGATGAGATGAGATGAGATGAGAAAAGATGACAAGAGATGACAAGAGATGAGATGACAAGAGATGAGATGACAAGAGATGAGAAGAGATAAGAAAAGATAAAGAGAGATGAGAAGAGATAAGAAGAAATGAGATGACAAGAGAGGAGAAGAGATAAAAAAAGATAAGATGAGAAGAGATGAGAATAAATGAGAATAGATCAAAAAAGATGAGAAGAGAAAAGATGAGATAAGGAGAGATGATAAAAGATGAGATGAGAAGAGA